TTTAGGATATAAAGATTTGTAAAGGTATATATTATATAGAGGTAAAGCCGTGACATATATCCAATATGTCACAGCTTTACCTGTTCGGTTTCGGACGGAATTGCAATAGACATACCTCCAAATTAATGTAAATTATCTACAAACATGCTGAAGTTGGTGAGAATCGAATCCGCGACCCATTAATTTGGCTACACATACATTAAGAACAGGTATTACGAGCTTGTTACGCCTTTATTTAAGTAAATGACGGGTGACATAACCTAGTAAATAGCTAAAGCCTATTAAATGAAGATAAAAAAGTAATGGGCGTGTGTCAAATTTAGATCAGGTTCTTAATACTAGACCTAATGTAAATCTAGAGTAACACGGCTCACAAATCTATAAGAAAATCATAAACGAGATAAAGTATGTAAGCAGAATGTGCTATAAACATATTATGTAAATATGTATAAATATTCGAGTTTTATTGAAAAGGATAGTTTGAAAGGGAAAAAAATGTCTTATCGATGGCGAACAGCTAAGTCCATAAATAAACACGGAACGGCTCGAAAGAATGTTTTGGCGATTTCCTTTTTTATGTAACCTTGAAACGTGGCTTTCCTCGTGTTTTTATCTTTACAATACTTTAAAACAACATCTTAATTTATCTTTATGGATTGTAACTAAATAGAGAAAATAAAATGTCGTTTACAATTTTTTGTGGGTAATTGGTTTTAGTTAAGGAAATCAACTTAAGGAAACGCGTTTCAGATTTTTTTAATTTGACATCTTTACAAATGTCCTGTTGGGCCAGAATACTACTAGAAAACTTTAATTAAAAGTCCTTAAATGATAGTGAATATTGCAACTTCGGTATCAGATATCTGTTTCTATAATCTTCGATATAAAACCGTTCCCACCGCCGGGACTAGAACTCCAGCGAGAGTATATTAACTCCCTATATATAAATTAAAAGAGACTTGTCAAAATGTGTTTCTATAAATACACAAAGTGAATCTTTCCTCTTATCTAATCGTCGGTCGTTGTACAAATATTAGATAATGGAACCCCTTATCACACATCCAGATGCAATTATTATTATCATTGAACTAACACTCTGTCTATTATTTACTTTCTTGCGTTGAATTTGTCGACTGATAGAAGAATTTTAAGGCGGCTCAACTCGAAGCTTTAAATAAATATCCTTATATTTACACCCTGGTTAAAATGTGATGATAAGTTTGACATAGGGGTGGCGTTGTATATAATATACATAGCAAATCTATTGGATAACCGTTAAATAAAACACTTTAACGGTTTAAAACGCGATATATTAGTTAAACTTATTTGAAAATGATTTTTTACTTCGGCCCGACTAATATATCGCGTTTTAAACCGTTAAAGTATTTTATTTAAATGAGTACTACTTCCGTAAACTATAGACAGTATTTATTGGGTTTAACTGTTTCCGCAAATCTGGATATTACATTTTTGGTAGGAATATCGAAATTCCGCTTAAGAAAAAGCCGACAAATTTTAACCACGTTTCAGTTTCTGTCTACATCCTCAATAAGTCGACAGTGCATCATCTTAAAATGTTATTTTGCTAGAGTACCTTCCATCCAGTGAACCCGACGCTTGTCTGTCCCCCTATCATCGTTGTTCAAATGTTTTGGTGTCCATGCTAACTTAAACTTCTTTCATCAGAATTTAATTTATTATATACATATTTACCCTACAAAGTACGATACTTTTTGTACATATATCGTATACAATTTATCATCCTATATTAGCCGCGGTATAGTTTGCGTAGATTGCAATTCTCTTCAAGGAAACTGTCTTTTAGCGGAAGTTTTCTCCTCAATGAAGAATAGTAAACATTGTCTCACCTTGTGTGATTGACAATGAATGCCTTTTGTCTTGTTTTACTAAATATAAAGTGGTTTATGTTCAAGTTTTGGTATTACAGCTTGTTTTGGTCCATATGGACCTATGGTAAATTCCTAACCTTTGTTCAAAGTCTATCCATAATATAAAGCTTTTATAGTTAAAGTATTATTATTATGGCTTGGCTTTTCCGATACTTTTCAGTACCTTTGATACTTTGGAACTTCGGATATATTCAATACATCGAAAAAGACCTTTGGAGGTTAGTTATAAATTGTTTTATTTCAACTACGTGTAGTGATTGCACACGAATTCAGTTACCGAAAGATAATAGTGTTTAATTTCCGGGTCGGCTAAAATTTTTATTCCTTTTCTAATAATCTATTACCTGAAGATTTGAAGTCGGAGGTTACGTTACCCTCGTGCCCCGTTAACATCACCATTTAGTGCTGGTTGAAGACCGATAAATCGCAATATAGCAGCGAGTCTAAGCTCTTACGTGAAAGAGGAACGAACTAGCATATCATTGTCTTTCGGGCTGTTCGGCTGATGTGAGCGAGAAGAGGTTCTTAATTCTTCGAGCAATCGAGGAGTCAACATCTCCTGATGATGCCGTCCACACGTGATGGCGAAACGTCGAGAACCTCTTCTCTGATACAGTCGGTTGAACAGCCCAAAAAACGAACGAACTAGTTGAACACACAGCATTACAATATATCGAGATACCCTTTTTGCTAAACAATCATTTAATTTGAGTTTAATTCATCAAATGATGAGGTCATCATTAATCAATTAATAACAAAGGAGCAATGTTTATGGCTGGCGTGTATAAAAACGCGGTAAAGCATTTGTATAAAAGTCACATTGCCTCATTCAGTTTATTTATCAAAAGCAGTTAATTAAGACCACTGCGTACTTAGTTTCTGGAAATTGACTACCGGTTGTAGAGGAAAAGGAGCTGTATTTACACACACTTAGAGGTCCTATAGCCTTCTCTAAACTATGTTCGAGTGGTTTTGTCAAGGCTTGGCTTATCTCGGTGTTCGGTTACAAGACTGGCCGACTCAGCTCCGGGAATTGCAACTCGATGCTAGTTGGTATTTGTAAAATAAATAATTTTTTTGCTTATGAAATCGAATATAGAAGCCACTCGAAGCAGCGAAGCCGTTTTCATAAGTAATCCCTATACCAAGGCAAGATATTCGTGTGTTTTAGACTACTGAAGCAATATGATGGATTTTGTTTTTTATATATTATTATATTTTCACTATATAATTGACTAGTTGTGTCGTACGACTTTGTCCGCATGGAATAGTCATTTTGGCCATCATATTGTTTATTTTTGTTGTTGTCGTCCCCGTCCCGTCGGTCTTCCAAGTTAAAAGATAGACATATTTAGTCGCGAATATTTTTTTAGAGAGTAATCATTCTATCAGAGCCATAACCTAAAGCCTTCCCCCATAAATGATCTAACACAAAATAATATTTCAATTCGAACCAATAGCTCAAATGAGATTAGAGTGTTCAAGTAAACAAACAAATTCATTAATTTTTCAATATTAGTATAGGTTCAGTAAAGTGAACTGAAAATTAAGGATGTCCAGATGTCCAGACCCCCGATGTCCAGATTTACGACACGTTTAGAAAAATGGACACTAGGAATCGAACCTGTTAACGTCTTATATAACTTATACATTCCTGCCATTTATTCGACCCGTCACACGACCGCGGTGGCATTGCCACCTATTGCATACTATCAAAAACAATTTATCGACATTCACTATGGCTTTTGGTTTTTCGATCAGTAAAAACTTTTAACATAGCTTTTTGTTATTCAACCTGAAGGTCATTCAATTTTCAAATTTTAAAGCCCCATTGTTCTGCCGGTTGCACTTAGCGATAAAAAGTTAATGCGTTTTTACTATTTCTGGTTGGTACTTTTAGTTCAATGTACATATTAATAATCTACGTGTACTTATAAATTCTTAGCTGTATTCTTAGTTTTAGGACTGGTTGTTTTAATTGATACAGCTTAAACATCGTCAGGAAGCAATCAGTCTTAGGGACAACAATCCCATAGAAATATGGTTGGCCAACATTTGGTCAGTATGGTGGATAAAGGCCCTTTATAGAAGACCCGGTCTACAGCAGCGAAAACTATTAAAAGGTCGGTGATGATGGCTTTACAACATGGTCCTCTTTATAAACGTCTATGTATATGATTATTTAATCCATCGCATACTTACACATCACTAATGTTGTAGAGCGTATACAATCCAAGCCTGTTCGCCAACGCCTTTTCTCGTGCTAAGGTTACGTAACGACTGCCGCAAAAAACGTTGCAAACTATTGTAAGCTTGTGGTTCCGGGTTCGATTCCATTGTTATAACGAGCTGTTTCACAACAGTGTTTGTCCTCACTATTCATTTGATAATATTATTCTTATTGTTGCTATGCTACATGATTTGCTACATTCTTTGTGCTTGGGATAGACGGATGGGTAAAAAAATAAAAATAAAATTAACGTATTATTATTTTGACTATAATTCAGTAAAAATGCAGTTTGAAAATAAGAAAACTTACAAGAAAATGTCATAAACAAGCTTTAGCCTTAAATTTGTTTTGTCCGTATATTATATAGTCATTTTTTGGAAGATTAACTTAAACTGAAAATTAAATTAAAAAATTAAATACTTAATAATAAGTGACATAGGTACTACAGTTTTAAACTAATGCCTGTTACATTAAATGACTCATGATATAGTTATAAACTAAATTTAAGTTACAAAGTAATGATAATAAGTGTCCTTTTAAATACAGAAAGAAATTAAATAATTCAGCTTTGATGATTTATAATTCGTAATGAACTGATAATAAATAATATTTGCGAACTTTATGAAAACGCTTAAAACTAACTTAACATTAGGTACAAAATTATTATCTTTTAGTGGTCAGCATGCAACGACTCGTTTGACGCGGAGAAAAACTGAAATAAACTTGAATACTACTTACATTGGTTAACAAAATAACACTACCCTTTCGGTTCTATGAAATACAAATGACACAAAACCGAGTACCGGAAATGGTATTATTTATTATTCAAAAATACTATCTAGTACAAAAATATTGTCAAAATGTGGCACGAGGGTATTCGGTCGAAGAAAACATCTAGGTCCGCTTCTATCAGAATTTCTCCTAATCACGTAATTGGTCCCTTAATTAACTTTAAACTTTGTTATATAAATATTATAAAATATCACACTTTAAATTCAAAGAAAAAACTATTCTACGTCGAAACTAATCACTTATAGCTCTGTCAAAAGTACAAAAAAAAACTGTGCCAATTTGAATATTGTATTCAAAAGAGACAATAAATAAACAATCTATCTATTTCGATAAACTAAAAATTAAATATTATAATCGATTTATATCTGTTATAAGGTAAAAGGCACTCATTGTGTCGGGCCGAAGCGCGACGCTCGGACGGCTTGGAAGCGCGAGAGGAGGTCCGTCAGTGCGCCGCGCCGACCACCGCCGTTTCAACTGGCTTCTATTGTCGCTGATAAGCATCTCCGTAGGTATACTATACTACACATATGATCGTACACGTCGGTACAGTCGGTATGAGACATTGACGGGTTTATTCCGAGATTTTTATTTGCGTCCGGAGAAGATAGCGTCGAGCGAGAGGGGCTTTAATGCGGTGGAAAAAAAAGCAATCACCAAAACTGTGAAACAGGTTTACGTTCGTTGCGCGCCCTCGCCCGACGCAAAAAAGACAAGTCCTCGCAGGCGAGTCGCCGGCGGCGGCACGCTGCAGGACCGCTTCGATACTTTTTAAACCAAATGCAGATGATTGATATAGCCGGCGGCGTTTGTTATTTTGCAATCCTCGACGACGCTGCGAGAACTACGCTCTTCAAACATTACAACTTCGAGAATAAACCCCTCAAAGCTCAGGCGGTCAGTCCGTTCCACTTGTGCAATTTTGAGGCAAAACAATTACATTGAGGTACCGGAAGTGGAAGAGATGGACATAAGATCTGAAACGAGCCAGGTCCCGTCGACGCATGCCTCGTCCGAATGCGGTGCGGCATCGCTAGCTACGAATACAACAATCATTACAGTTAAGAGACTCGAAATAAATAATAAATTATTATCTTAATCCTTAAAAATAGATCACGAGCGCCTTCTCGCGGTACGGTTCCGAGCGCGGATAGGCAGTTACGAAATAAATAATGCAACTATTAACTAACTTTACAGAGACCACCGCTCGGCGGAGGATCGCATCGGGAAGACTTCCGCGAGCTATACAATAAATATTCTAAAATTATAAGGTGCCATTTACAAGTGCGTGCCGATAACTTAGATGTAGATATACCACTATGTTCACACCGCAAACTTTCGAGACGCCAGAGAACACTTTTATTTTTACAAAATTACAGGGCAACGCGCTGCGAACGTTGCGTCGGTAGACTGGAGATCATTCGTTGAGCGGGATGCGGGCGAAGGTGCGACGAGCGGGACGGCTCGGCCGCTGTCTGGAAGACGTCGAGTAGGCACTAAGGTGACGGACGATTCTTAAACGCTACGCTCGATTCGTTAACTTAGGACTAGTCGTTCGCACCTAGGCGATCACGAGGTCGCCGAACGCAGACGAAAGGCGATTGAAGACTGGGAGCCGTTCCTCCTCGGGGTCCGGGGAGTGCGCACGGCGGAACGCAAAAGCAGGGGCCGGAGGCGACAAAGCCGGGGGCGATTGGGGAGCCATAGGGGACTGTGGTGCGAGCGGAGAGTGGGGCGACCTTGGGGAACGGGAACCGTCACTCATGTAAGATGCCATAGAAACTCCCGATGAAAGGGATGCCAAGGAGCCGCCGGGCGAAGATGGCTCACGGCGTCTCGCTTCCTCAGCGTTGTGAACGAAGTGGCAACGTGGGCCATACGGGCAAAATCCGACCGAGTGGAAAGTGCGGCACAATTCAGTTTTGTATTTTGGGTGGCGTTGGAGATTACGTAGCTCCCGCATGCCGTGCGCAAATTGGCACTTGTCGCCGTATTTACAGACGCCGGCTTCCTCGAATGGCCTGCATAGTTCCGTCTTGTATCTGCTGGTAGCGGGTGGTGGTTGTGCTGGGTCGCTTGTGGTGCGTTCGAGCCGCCGATGGCCTAAGCTGTTCAGGATACCGGCGAGCGCCCTCTGTGCGGGCACAGACGCAGCACGGGCCAAAACTGGATGCTGCTCCCAGCCGACGCTGGCGGTGACCGTCGTCGCGCCGACTGGACCCAACGCGCTATTCATTGTCTGCACTGGTCGAGACTGGTTCTGAAAACAAAAGAACAAAGTTTTACACCAGCTACTTCCAAAAATCATAATAGAACATATGTAAACACAAATATGATGATGATAATGATTAAAAAGTATTTCAAAACTTTTTTAGCTGTCGTAATCCTACTCGAGTTCCTAATTACGACTAATAGAAAAAAATTTAAATGTGAAATTTCCGAAGGATAAATTTATTTGATTTTTAAGAACAAAAAAGTTTATACTATATGGCAACGAAGGGTCCGATACCTGCTGGTTAACAAAAAAGACGGGCACTGTAGGGACGTATCTACCTGCTATAGGCAACAACACCCGACGCGACTTTGAGTTAAAATTGTTAATATTTCCAATTAACTAAACCTAACTGACACATTACAGCCCCAGAGCGAACCGTGCTTAACGACTACATCCATCCAGATCGCGTCCGGTCTCCTGTTGTGAATTATTTATGTTTAAAATGGGTATTCTTTCCAATAGCTGTTTCTTATTCTAGTAGAGTTTAAAAATGCAAATGTTCGGTTTGTAGTCTTTTGTTTCTGAGGATCGACGAACTTGGCTCAAGACATCACCATAACAATGCATGGCGGAGAGGCGCGGGCGCGTCGCCTCTCTAACAACTGTGCTCAAACACTCCTTGTGATTGTACACTATTGTTCACTAAATGTCGTTTCGTTTCGTGGTTGCAATGTATTATAATTGTTGGCACGTCTACTTCTCTGAATGCATCGGACGTCGTATTAAATATTATCGGTCGGCTTAGGATTTGTTATAACAGGGACGGAACAATAGTCAAAATTAAATTTTGTTTGGACCAGCTTTATAGATCGCGTGTTTGAGCTATGTATGTGTACGTTGCACAATATAAATAAAACAGTGAAAACAAATATGACGTTATAGTTCAGCGCTATAACTGATATAACTTGCAGTTTGCTTTCACTAATTGATGACATTTAAAGAATTAGAAATCAACACATTTTAAGAGATCAAAAGGCTAGTCGCTGCAAAATTACGCGGAACCTCGAAAGATACCTACCTAAATGTATGATAGACCGCATCTTGTATGCGGCCTCAATAGATGTGAATGACACATCATTGTATATTCTATTCGCCTATTCCCCGTCCGATGGTCGTAAACACGAAAACACTTGTGTTTTGATCTTTAGTATACAACAGACGCCGCATTAAGCTTTACCTTTTTTGAACAATTTATCAGATAAATGCGCCGCAGAATTGTAACCGCATACGGCTTCTATTCAATTCTTATTTTTGAACAGGTTTAATAGTTGTATAATAATACTACTTAGGTTATATATATTCAATTTTTATGTAATACGCCCGTGTGTAAACGGACTATAAAATATTTCATTATAAAAATATATACAAATTTCGTTGTGTTGTATTGTAATACTAGATTTATTAGTTATTATAGAAAAATTAATAAGTCGCTTGGATATAGAAGTGAAAAGGTTGATGATCACAATAGCGAACGAAACGTGCGGGCGAAAAGCTCAAAGGTTGGCGCTACGGTCATCAGGTGTCGAAGGAAAACGGTGACTGATGTGTAATTAAAGAGTTATCAGAGCGGAACATTGGCTCAGCGCTTTCCATCGGACGTTGCGCCGACTTACCGCGCTCTGGGGAAAATTGTAATCACTGTCGATTTCAAACGGCCGCGGTTGTTGCGTTCGAAACTAAAGGTAATCAGGCCCTCACTGTTCGCCGCTCAATTTGCATTAGCATGTATTTGTATAAACATCCCTCTGGCCTTCAATGGCTAATATTGCACGTTGCATGTACGGACTACTTGGCAATTACAACTGCGCCAATATCCTAACCATGCTTCAATAAATTTGCAAACCATCTACCACGAAAAGATCTCACATGTGATTGAAATAAGACTTTCAATTCGAGGAATGAAAACCTTCCAAAGCAATGTTATGTTTCTATATGCCTAAGTAATTATCAGACGATTGTGTCAACGGTGTGGACACGCGGCCACTTCGAGCATAATAAATTGTTTGTTCTCGTCTTTGTTGGCGACATTCACATACTGTAAATGTACTCCGGGAAGTACCTTAATTATGACAATCTGTCGAAATTTACTATCAACTCGTTTGAAAAGCTTTAATGTATAGGCACTTCTTGTTTGTTCGATGTTTCCGTATCAGTATTTGTGACGTCCTGTATTTTGTCCTTATTCTATGTGCTACCATGCCAAACTCATGATGTAATACCTAAACCGGAATTAAACTCATATACTGAATACAAGATCATAGCAATAATGATAAAGACAACATTACGAAAACCGGTAACCGCACAAAATCCTAATGAGGATAAGCGTAAACAAAACTTTTAAACAAAAGAATTAAAATATGTCTTCGCATTTTATTATTGTCAATTTAAATAACTAGTAACGACACTATGGCGTTAGACCCTTAAGATAAAAAATGAATAGGGTTAGTACTAAATGTTATAGTGTAATTTATTCTCGTAAAAGTTACCGCATGTGGTTAACGACCCGGTTGAAAACAACCATGACAGCATGTATATTTACTCTTGCAATCAGCAAAATTTACACCTCGCGGTTCGCGATTCTTGAACGTATGTAGGGTCCCGCTAAATATAATTCGCCTCTAGATAACCTCGGGGGCAACGCACCGCAACAAAGCTCCGAATTCAGGTTACTGGTTTTCAGCAATATGTAAATGTGTGTAGAGATCGATTTTAACAATTCAAATGAAGAGCGCGAAAAGATTTGACGTTTTAAAGGTAACCTAGTTCTGTAACAAAGGCTAGACTAAACACAGCTCGTGTCAAACATGCAAAACATTTACACGTAGTTCACGCCCCTAATGGCTAATACATAAGTGCTTCGAAATTACTCCCTGTAATGATATCAGTTATAATCTTAGAGACGTTTTCATTGTGCGTCCCTTTATTATTTCCTGCAACACAATACACGGAGCATGAACTCTACTTACGAAGACTGTCTGTGACAATTGATACAGCGACGACCAAACGAGATACCACTCGTAGCTTAATTGAACCTTAATTGGTTTTAATCAAATGCGTTCTATATTTAAATGAACTTTTAACGATATAAAGCACTCAGTCAAAGTAATTAATGGCATTATTTTTACTAATCAAGCTTCAAATTAACGTCTAGACATTGTATGAAGGTTTAGTAGTTAGCGATCAACACGTTACATAAACGGTCGGTAGGTAAAAGACAAATTTGACAGATTGTCCAAATCGGTAAATTTCTTCGAGAGCCAAGACGAGGGTCTCGTCGATTGGTACCATCACGTTTATTGGATGATTGCGCGAAAATAACCAGCGCCGAGATCCTGTCTCCCCTCGCGACAGACCCACAAACAGCTTCCAATAATCGCAATATAGTCATTAACCTCTCAATCTTACGCCTCGCCCCCTGTCTTATATAAACTCTGCCCCCCATTCGCACGTAAAGGGCAGGGAGGCAGCTCGCGGTTCCTATTATGTACGTCGTACATTGTTTTTCTATTGTTAAACTTTACGATGCCATTATGCATTCGAATATTGTTTACTAATATACGATTGTAATTTACGCGGCGGGTATACTATCATTAATATTGATGTCTTTATTGTAGGTGCATAAACAGTGCTTAATTAGGCTCCTATACGAAAGTGTATTCAAGGTAATGTAGTATTTTCAAATCATAAACAAAGAGCCATGAATCAGTCTGTGACAGAGCGTTACAAGCGAGCGCTGTCTGTTTAACTGTGTGTCGTTATATAAATGACGCATTTACCACAACCGGTCTCATTATAACAAGAGATAACAGTCCAAGTGCACATATAGGCGTAAATATTTCCGTGCCCTCCAATAATAGAGCCGTAGTGACAATTCGTACGGCTTGGTGCTCTCCCGCAAAGGCTAGAAATTCGATGCAAACGTAATTGGAGCGAACACTTGTCGCACTACGGTTGGGGAGGAAACAGAATTAGATTTCTATCCGTACAGAGCTTAATAATAGGCGAGTTAAGTTGTTGCGCATGACTAAAGCTCATATTTAAAATCGTTACATGCTCAATGAGTAAGACCGGACGCGAACAGACCGACCGCGCATGTAGATGGCCTGTCCACTCCGATTGCGATGCGAGAACGCGCCGGCTATGGTAAAAATTCCATCACTCGTTCACCTTTATTTGAATATCCACAGAACAATTGCCTCTGGTTATTATTCCAAGCAATACGACATATTTAATTTTGAATCTTCGCCGCTGAGCACAGGATATCACGTATTGGCCGATGTTTCGAGAATGGTTAAATCGTTGTCAACTAACGTTCGCCGTCCATTACATTGTATTTAAGAACGCTCCTAATGCATATAGGTTCGTTGACATAAACAATGATAGTCACCGTGTTGACTCGCTCCGCTCAAACTTATGACGACAACCTGTACTTTGTTGACATGTAAGAAAACTTGTTAAGAGCCTGTTAGGAAATAATAGATTAGGGATTTGAGGTAGGTCCGAATGCAATAAACGGACCACGGTGATGGCTGGACAGCGATCCAGTTTTGGTTTAAGGAGAAGACTGGTCGGGAGTGGTTTTGTTTATTGCGAGCGCGCCATAAACCTCGGACGAGGTGAAGCGGCCGTAAAGCGAATGTCAACAAAGAAATCCGTTCAAGTCGAGCATGTTTACCCCTCGGACGTTCAAAGCGGAGGAAGTATACGTACGTCCCCAGGCCGGGCCGCTTTTAGCACCTCCTTATTTATAGATGCAACAACAGAAAGCTGTCTCAGCGTCGATTTGCAGAACGGAACAAGTAAACAGCGTCACTCACGACAGCCGCGTTAACTAATAAACCTTCTCGGAATCTTTTTATGTTAAAAGTGAGACCGGCTCCCCAATAAAACGAGTTAATGAGCTAGCTATAACTAATCCGTGACAATAAAACTATATGAATGGCGGTCATTAGTGACGATCGTTAGGGCCCTTACGTCAATCATAT